CCTCAGCTTTCAACAGAATTTTTTATTTCTTGTATATCTCTTTGAATTTGTTTCATGTATTCTACTTCTTTTCTATATTGTTCATTTAAGGTTTCCATCATTTTTCCCATGCTTCTGTACTTTTTATCTATGTCTTCTCTAGCTATGCTGAGCAACTCCTTTATTAAGATTGTCAATTCTTTCTTTATATGGGGGATTATTTCTTATCTCGTTTCCTCCATTGCCGCATGGATTTGTTTCTTTATTTCACTTGCTATCTTTTCAGAAATTTCAAGTGTATGAATTTTAATATCCTTTACTTCAGGGTCTCCTGTACTTGTTCCTGAGGTATTAGATGTTTGAGATTGCATTTTGCTTTTTTGTTTTGTCATTTTTGCCTTTCAGGCTAATATTTGGGCTTTCAATCTCACTAGTTTCAACTGTTGATAGTTGCATATTTTAGGGTCCTACTGTGTGGTTGATGTTTTTTCTGATTGCTGGGTACCACAATGAAGAGGAGGGCCAGTCACCTGAATTTCTCCTAAACGGCCTGTATTGATTTAAGTCAACCTTTAGTCCCTGCTGTTACTGTGTCTTCAGTTGTTCCCAGGCTACCAAATCTGCCTGTCTATAGTGTTTGCCTTTGCTAGGACCCTGCTGTGTCACTGGGTGTCTCATAAGCCCTTTTTGATTTCGTCCAGGTTGGGGGAAGCCTTATTGGCACTCTCTTCAACCCACCTGGTATTCTCTGTATGAAGGAAGGACTCACCCACACTCTTTTTAGGCTCACCAAGGTCCTACAGCTGGGAGCACTTCCCTACTGCTCCTGTTTACCCATTGAAGTTCTCTATTTTAGGGTTAAACTCAACACACTGATGCAAGCCTGCTGAGGTCCTCTGTTTGGATGAGGGGTTAGTGAGTTTCTAATCAGACCAGCAAGGTTAATCCACTGTGGTAAAAGATCCTGGGAGGAGGAGGGAAGGCCAAAGATCCACAGCAGTAATAGGTCCAGAGGTCGAGGTGGTGAGAGGCAACCAACACTCCATGGTCCCTCTGAGGTCCAGGGGGGTGAGGTAGGGCAGGCAATGGAAGTCCTTCCAGGGGGTAGGAGGGCTAGGGAGGGGAGGGGAAGGTGAGGCAGGGGAGGGAAGTTGAAGCTCTGTGGTCCCTCTAAGGTCCAGGGGTGGGCAAAGCAGGGCCCATGTATAATTGTTTTTTTCACCCTTCAGTTTTGTCAGATTTTGCTTTATATATTGTTGGGCTTTTTTTTTTTTAGATATGTATACATTGATACTTGTGTATTCCTATTTCTATTTATCATTGTGAAATGCCCTTCTTTGTCTCTGGTGGTATTTGTTCTGTTAGTGTCTCTTTTTCTGATATTATACGGCAGTTATAGCCCTCTTAATACTGTAATTTCGTCTTTATTCTGTATTTTTCTTAGAAACGCATGATGATCTTTGAAATATTTTTCATAGACAGCCTAAGTTAGATCTTGCTTTTTATCTAATCTTACAATCTATGCCTTTTGACTAAAGCCTTTAATGTCATTATTGATTCAGTTGTATTTATATTGGACCATTCTGTAATTTTTATCGTGTGTTGCATTTGTTTGGTCATCTATTCCTCTTTTCTGATCTACTTACGTGCTAGACAGATACTTCTATTGTACCATTTTATTCCTCTATTGATCCTGTGAACTATATTTTAAAGATATTGAAAATAATGTTTTTGTAAACTATAATATATATCTTATCAAGTTCATTTTGTTACTATTGACTTAATTCTAGTAAAATATTGATGGTACTTTGTTATGGCATTTCCTACATAAATATAAAAATGTTTCATTTCCTCTTTCCTCCAAGGTGTTCTTATGGCCAAACATATCACATTGTATGTTATGAACCCTGCAACACAGTGATATAACTTTGCTCATTATAGATTTATTATATATTTATAGTCTTTCATAATAGCCTATTTACCATTTCTATCTTCTATTTTTCCATTATATTTTACTCCACTGTTACAACCTTTTAGTCTGAAGAATGATTCCAATTTTTTACAAGAAAATTCTACTAGCATTGGCTTCTCTGACACTTTATCTGAGAAAGTCTTTACTTTGCCTTCATTTTTGAAGGATAATTTTATTGGCTATAAACACTTGCTTGTAGATTTTTTCCTTTCAGCAAATTAAGTATGCCATTCTACTACTTAACCCATTGCTTCTGAATGATGAGAAGACATTTGTTATACTTTTTATATTTTACATAATGCATATTTTTCTATCTCAGTTTTTAATACTATTTATTTATTTATTTTTTTGGTACCAAGGATCAAACTCACGATTGTGCACTTGCAAGGCACGTGCTAATGCTACTGAGCTGACTCCTTGGCCTTGTTTTTAATATTTTCAATGGAAATAAGACAGTTTCCATTGGTTTACATTCAATTCCTTTGAGTATTTTTTCTGCCATCTCAAATATGCTATTTAGCCTCTCTGGTGAATTACTTTTTCATCTCATGTGTGTTTGCTTTGACTAAATTTCTGATTCTCTATTGAGATTTACTATTTGTTTATGTACTATCAATGTATTGTCCTGAAGTTTTACAAACAAGGTTCAGTGGATTTCTTGGACATATTTATAACAGCTATTTTGAATTCTTTGTTTTCTAAATCCAACAACTGGGTAAATTCAGGTTTTTTTTACTGTGTGAATCGTATTTTTCTGTTCCTTTGTGTGCATCATAATTTTTTATCATAAGCTAACTATTTAAACAAATTATCATATGTTTGTGTCCAGATGTCCCTTAAAGCCTTATGCAGTTATAGGGGTTTTCAGAAGTGGCTGAATCTGATGCTATGATTAAGGGTATGTGATCAGCTCACTGACTGATTAAGCACTGCCCTAGTCCCAGTGGCCTAGATAGAATGTAAAAAGGGGCAAAAAGACACTATTAAGCTCAGCTGTTGCTTTTGCTGTGTTCTGCTGCTATGAATTGCCGCCCTTCTACCATGTGCCACCCTGTCTTGGAGCCAGCTGGTTTTAAACTGAAACCTCTCCAAACTGTGAGCTAAATAAATGTTTTCCCCTGTAACTTTGGGTGTTGAGTATTTTTCCAGCAATGAAAGAAAAGCAACTAAGACACTGTAGCAGTTCTGGATTTTATATTTTCAACCTGAGATTAGTTACTATTTTTTGTTTGTATACTTAGTTGTGTTTTAGTAAATTGCTAAAACTTAATCTAAGAAGCTCTCTGTTTCATATGTGCAATTCTTAATAACACTCCTTATTTATTTCTACAGTTTTGTTTTTATAATTTAGCTTTGTTTGGTAGGAATCATTCCTGTGGCTACTTTTCTTAATAGTCAGCCAAGGATTCATCAAAAGTGATCAAATATTGTTATCTGTCTTGTCCATGGATCTGAGTATGAGTTAGAAGTCAGATAGTTTGCAGGTTGATTCAAGTTTCGTATCCCATGGGACTCTCTTAGGTCCTTTGTACAGGTGCACACAGCCAAGTTTCTCCAGACTGACCAAGTGTGGTGTGGTGATCATTCTATTTAGTTTTCAGGTTGTACATGATGGTAGGTCTTTGTTTATGTTGTGACCATAGTAAGTTTTATGATCCGTAAAATCTCTGGAAGCTTATTAAAAAACATACTTTAAATGAATGTATAATTAGTATAGCTTGTGATTCTAAGTCAGTCCTGGACAGTGACCAACCTTTGCCATTGTGAAGAGAGTTTGTAATCCATATTATACAAAAATGGTTTGGGTTGTTGTATGTTCTTTTATGGCTCTATAGCCCAGAGCTAGGTAGTGAGTGATCATATTGATAGGGTTGCTAAGTCGTGTTTGGATCCTGAAATATTACTGGAAATATGTAGACACTATCTAAATAATTGTGTTTTTAAAGATTTCTCTGGGGGGAAAAATGCCATACATACCTTGAAAACCTTTTGATAAACTGATTGCAGCATGGAGAGGCATTCCCAAAGCACATGCTCTGTAAGAACACGGCCTTTGCTGCTCTGCCTTCCAGGGTGGCTGGTAAAGTTACTCTTGTGGCTTTTGCTTTGCTGACTTGAGACTGAAGACAAGTTTCCCAGCAGAGTGGAGGAGACTGTTGCTCTTTCTTTTACATCCTATCCTACTCAGCACTTCGGCTCTCTTCTCAGTGTACAACAATATTTTAATACAGTGGTATAGAAGAAGCTAGTGTATTAGTTTGCTTCATTAGATTTTAAGGATTCCTTCTATGGAAGTCACTCTGAAAAGCACTATAAAAATAAGATTTGAGGAAGTTTCAAGTTTTTCTTTGTATTGTTAAGGAAGATGACAGCTTTACTTATCTGGGTTACTTTTCTCTTGATCACTATTTTATGGTCAGTAGGTGCTCCTTCATCTCACCAGTTTGTATTGCTGGTTTTTATATTTCTCTAACCATTTTGTCTCTGTGGAGATCTTTTCTGATCTTGACTTCCTGAGGGCTTTGGTGGAGTGTGATTTAGAGATCACTTGGGTAAAACATACTGGTTTTACAGAGATGAAAAGTAGAATTCTGAAGTCAGCCAAAGGCATATCACTGGTCAGTGGCAGAGCTTAGTCAGAAGTTCATTGTCTTTATATTTCTTTATCCTTGATCTTACACAATGTAAGATACTTGTTTTTATAAACAAAATCTCTCCGTCTCTTGTTTCTCTGCTTCTGTCTCTCTCCTCCATTCTCCATCTCTTTAGCATTACTATTTGTTTCTATATTTACATTTTCCCTGTCACATCAGGTTTCAGGGAATATTTGTGAAGTAACTTTTTCAGATCCAACATGTATTTTTGCATTCTGTAACCGATATGAAAGACTCTGTGTTATTCATAACTGAAAATAATATGCTCTTCTTAAAGTACATAAGGATATTTCTTTTCACAAATTTTCAGTATAAACTTTTGTGATAGAAAGAAAATTTAACAGTCTCACATTTGAAAAAATGTACTGTGCTTGACTATGTTTATTTTGACCCAGAACTGTATGCTGCTTGGAGGACGAAAAAACACAGATGTTCCCCTGGAAGGCTATTTGGTGACACCCATACAAAGGATATGCAAGTACCCCCTCCTTCTGAAGGTATTTTATGTAATGCCTCATTTTAGTATTTCGTTGAAACTGAATAGTTTTCTGATGATCTTTTTAAAGAGTTTGACATTCTAAAAAAAGGCAGATCACAATTATTGGAAAAATAGCTACTTTATCATACATTTATCTGTGGAGCAGAAGGCAGAACTTTAGTGGAAAAGCCATTAAAATGAGCTTTTAGTGCTCTTTGTGGAAAAACATACTTGCCTGAGTTTCATTCAGAATAAATGCATTAGTTTAAGAGAGCTCCCATTAAGTCCATTATGACTGTTTTATGTACCACGTTAGCTATAGGGCCCTTTATTTTAAGTAAATTCACTGTTGGTGTCTGTTTTCATTACCCAAACTTCGGTAAATTTATGATGCTAATAAAGTTAAGGTCAAAATTACATAATTTCAGGGCCTGGTTTCTGAATCATTATTATAATGGCATGAGCACTGAGATTGCTAAGAAAACACCATGTCTTAAAGGCGAAATGACTCACTAACACTTGTCAGTCTGTCTCCTTATTACAATAATCAATATTTTAATATTTAATTTACTACCTTTTGGCATTGATGTGAAGTTTTATGACTAGGTCAGCATGCCAGTTTTTGAAATTATACTTTTTGGGATATAACATCAGAATAGACAATTTGAGGTGTTAGTTGAGCATATGAACTCTGAGTTGAAGTCCCTGGTATTCTCCTTACCAGCTCTCTGAGTGGGATATGTAATCTAAGCCTAAAAAGTCTTTTTCTTAATTTGTAAAATAGAAAAATGACAAAATTCAGCATGTATCTATAGGAGTGTATATATCAATAAATATATAAGCATTTATATGTGTAAATATATATTTGCATGTATATATAGAAGTATAAAATGATTAAATATTTTACATGAGTCATTTAGCATGGTATGTACTCTGTATTAGACATTCATGCTTATGTCTATTTGATTTATTTTAACATATTAATTACTAATTGGCATCTTAATTCTTAAAAATACTTAGAAATGCCATTGCTAACTAGGCATGGTGGCTCTTGCCTATAATTTCAGCCCTTGGTAGGTTAAGCTGGGGGATCTTTACAAGTTCAAGGCCAGGCTGGGCTATATAGTGAGTTTAAGGTCAGCCTGAAGTACATAGTGAGACCCTGTCTCAACAAAATAAAACAACAAACAAAAAAGAAATGCTATTGCTATAATAATTGAGTTACTGATTTACTTTTTAAGATGTATTATAAATTTGAACTAGAAATACATTTTTTCTACCTTCAGAAATAATTTTATGACCATAAAAATATGTTTTATACCATCAGTTGAAGAGTTGCTCTGGGATTTTCTTTAATTTAATTTAATTTTTATTTTTTCTTCAGATAGGATCTCACTATGTAGTGCAAGCTAGCCTTGAACTTGCTTATGTAGCTCAGGCTTGTCTTAAACACACAGTGATCCTCCTGCCTTAGCCTGCCAAGTGCTAGGATTACAGACATGTACTGCCATGCTCAGTTCTCTTAAACTTGAGATGGGTTTATTATTCAGATAAAAACATTAGAGATTGAGTTATATTATTAAAAAATATATTGGTCTTACTTGTGAAACTTGATACTAATTTGGCCGGTCAATGCCAGCTTTACAGCAAGTAGTTACTAGATTTTTAATGATTATTTCTCTTTGTATTTTATATTACCTAAATTTATTGCACAAGTACTCACTGAATATTAAAGGCTCGACTTCCTAGCCTTGGGAATGACTTGGTTACTTCACTTAGGTTACAAATGGTTCTACTATTCAGAATTTCTAGAGAAGCCTGCATATATCTTTTATGAATTTGTGGGCCACCATAACATTTTAAACCTTGCCTTTGGAGTGGTGTTTTATGTATTCTTGTGGTGTAACTCTGCAGAGCCGAGTATGAACATATTAAATGCAGGGTTAAAGTTTATGGGAAAATTTTCCACAATAAGGAAATTTGGGAGGATACAAGAACTGGCTGAATCAAAGCCAAGCCAGGCATGGTGAGACACAACCAGCACTCAGGAAGATGAGGCGGGAGAATCATCATGAGTTTGGGGCCAACCTGGGCTACATAGTGAGTTCAAAGCACTTCAAAGTTGAAGTGCGTGATGAAACCCTGTCAAAAAAAAAAAAAAAAAATCCAAAAAGCAAAAAACAAAAATGGCCTAAGTTTCCACTTTATTTTTGAGAATTAAGAGCATTCTTTTGAAGAGAGGCCTCAGGGTCTCTGTAATTGTATTAGTTCTATGATGTTGGCAACCGTAATAAAGAAACAAATGACTAATTAAAAAGTAATGTGGTCACAACTGTCTAGACAGTGGGTGAAGATGTTTAATTTTGTGCTTCTAAACAACAGCTAGCAAGACTTTGTTAAGAGATTAAAGATTACTGTAATTTTGATATTCTGGATAGAAAAAATATAAATAAAAAGCTTCTTAAAATCTGGAACATCAAAAACAAAAAAGGGAAGCATTAGATTTATAGTAGTTTATTCATCACAGAGAATGATGGAAAAGTATAAATTGCCCCTTTAACAATGAAGTATTGTGAAAATTGTAATAAAGTATCTATTTTGCTGGAGAATAAGACATCTACAGATTTTGCTTTGTTTAACTTATATTTTTATAGCTTCTCAAAAAATGTTAGGAAACAGGGATTAATATTGTTAAGAAATTTTGGACACATTTATTTAAATATATATTCTGTTAAAGACTCCAGGAAAATGAAATGACCACATTAACATTGTTAATGGTTCTGTTAGAAGAAAAATCAAAATTAAATAAATTCCATGCCCATGAGATATATCTGATGGTTTCAAAGAAGACATGTAACCTTATTTTTAAAAGCAAAATAAAATGTATGTGAAAAGTTAGTGTAACTGCAAAATATGCCTTGGAGTAACACTCATTCATTGATTCAACCTTTCTTTTCTGATCCTTATCTTAGTGGAATTTGTGATGTCACTGAGAAAGGGGCTGTCATGATCTTTGTAGTTTTCATTTCCTGGTCAGTCTTAGCATGCTGTACCAGAAAACTGATGATCAAAGAGCAATTTGTGTGTGTGTGTGTGTGTGTGTGTGTGTGTGTGTATGTGTGTGAACAGGAGCTACTGAAGCGAACTCCACGGAAACACAGCGACTATGCGGCAGTGACCGAAGCCCTCCAAGCTATGAAAGGCGTCTGTTCCAACATAAATGAGGCCAAAAGGCAAATGGAGAAGTTAGAAGCGCTGGAGGAATGGCAGTCTCACATTGAAGGCTGGGAGGTACATTTACTTTGCTTAATGTAGAGTTTAAGACTGTTCTGTGAAGTTACATGTTAGGAGCAAAATTATTGGGGTTGATAAGCGGTTGTTTTTCCAGATATTGTGAAAGGACTACTATAGTCAACACTGAAAATTGCTTTCATTATTATTTTAAAATACTTTTTAAGGTGGCGGTTAGTTCAATTAATCTTGACCTGAGATGTTTTATTATGGAGCCAGTAGATAATCATGTGAGCCTTGAGCTTTGATATTTCATAATTTGTGCCTCATGAATTACCTCTTATTTCTGTATTAACTTTGATCAACAAGTATTTCACCTACATCTTCAAGAGAGTAAGAAACTAAAGAATGAGAGAGAAGAATGGGAATCATTTTCAACCATGATAATTTTGAATCAGTTTTTTCATGAGATTGAAATCCTACATTGTTTTAGTGCTATACAAAACAATTTGAAATTCTTGTATTTAAAGTGCCATAATTTAAAGGAATTTGAACTGTGAGCCAGCATTTTTTTTCATGCTACACATGTTATAAAGAAGGAATTAGGTTAATTTTTAAAAAGTAGAAGAAGTAAGATTGAAATTGTCCCCAGCTAAATGCTGTATCATATAAAGCCAAATGAAGTGTTTAGATCATTAAGGACTTGCAGTGAACTAATTTGTTTCCTATCCTGGAGATGTTGGCTTTCATTTAGACCTAAAGTTGTGTCCAACCAGATACGCAAAGAAAGCTCAAATACTAACCTGAGGGAATTTTCCTCTTTGAATACTGTGCTATGAATCTTTTAAAATGCTAACTGGGGTCTGACCTCACTTCCTCTTTGTGTATGTTCTACTTCTAAAGTGTGTAGGGTGACCTCCCATTTCAGCATGAAGGCCCCCTCTTCCAGTGAGTTAGAATGATTGTGTGTTGTACAGTTGATTCATGATGATAATTCCTTTCCTGGGGAACTGTTGTCTTGCTGGGATGAGAAAAATGAAGTGAAGTTTGCTTTTGCAGTACTCTTGTTGTTCAAACATTGGTACCAAAACTGAGCTTGCTTTAAATTGCAGATGTTTCAGTGAAATCTGCCAGGCCTTTTGCTAAACAAGAACTTCAGAGACTCTTTGCACTACTCTAGGAAAATGGAATCTGTCATAATTTTGTTTCTTTTTGGTATATATTCTAAAATTTGAATCTACTGAAGAAATCAGAGAGTTCTTAGATACTATTGATGTTGTTTTCAACATCAACATACTCAAAGGCAAAATGTATGTGGAGTGTGCTGTGTTGTACATAACCCATAGCAGAGGGTGGCTCAATTTCTTAGACCTGCATGGTTTTACAGTACTAAGTGCAAGAGAAAAAAATAGAGCATCAAGACAGAAGAAAGCTAGTGGAATTTAGGAAATTCTGTGGCGTGCTCAGGGTGTACAGCTCTAACAAGCAGATAATATCAATTCTGGGTTCCAAGGAGGGTGATGACGTGAATCTCATTTTAGTGGATTTTAACATTGAGTTTTTGAGAATCAGCTATGCAGATATGTGGGAATTTGGGGACTTTGGAGGTTATGGCTTGGAGCAGAATTCAATCAGTCGGTGGGCGATTTGTGATCAGAATCTAATTATCCACCCTACTGTACTATGCTGGAGAGACGAAGGGGCCATTTTCCATTCTAGGGAGTTTAGGGGAAGTTGCTAGTCTGGTAGGACTCTGTACACAATTAGACAGGAAGAATTCTGTTCCCGAGATACAATGAAAGGGATTTTAGAGCTATTTTTGAATTGCTAAGAGTGATTATCATTCAGCCAATAGACAGCTTTGTGTGTATGTAGGGGGCTCTTTTGGGCAGCGTTTACATGGAAGTGGCTCAGATGTATCCGCCAGGACAGTTTATATATACTAGAGTTCCTGGAAGACTTTTCAAGGTTAGGAGCCCAGGGCAAATGTTTGGAAACAGGTCCTGTCAAGCTCTACAGATATTTTAGGACTATTCCATAAATGACTCTCTTTCTTCAGGAATTAAAATTCTCATATTCTCTCAGCCACTTCCTGAATTGAGAATTGAACTTAGTTTCTCTGAATCTAACTGCCCTAAGTCCCCTGCCCTGTTTCTAATTTTGGTTTTTTTTTTTTTTTTTTTTTTTTTGGATATAGGGTCTTGCAAAGTTCTTAAATTGCCTAGGTTGGGCTGGAACTTGAGAGCCTTCTGCCTCAGACTCCCAGAGTGCTGGGATTGTAGGTGTGCACCACCACAACTAGCCAATTTGACATCCAAATGTGAAGTACTCTAGATGTGCGTTATTTTTACTTTAGGTGTAATTTCAGTTATGTAAATCATTTAATTATCCAGAATATCATTTCCTAATTAATCAAATGAAGTATTTTTTTCCAAAACAATAAGTTCTCATAGATAATTTTCCTATGTGGAATTTTGTGCTACTAAATTATTATTTATATTCCTGTATGCTCAGTTTAAGTAAATTAGTAATTGAAATTTATTGTTCCCGAATCATATGCCACAGTGAAGAATGCTTTTGAGAAGACTTGGCTTTTAGTCAGCCTTTTGTTTGGGGATAATATGTCACACATCTTTCATTTATAGAATGGATTAGTGTAGTGATCAAAAAAGTAAGTAAAAATGCTTTAAACTAAGATGCTCTAAAGTAGCATTTTAAAACTAGTTCAGTAGTTGAATTTTGCCCTTGAGAATTTCTCACTTTTCTATTACATGCATTCAGTGGTTGTAATATTACTTGAAGTTATATGGTTCAAAGTAATGAAAACTAAAAGAAAAATCAATTGGATGGGTCACAGAATCAATGGAAGAAGTGTAATTGTCAAAGTTGGAAGAGACCAGTGATGTGGTTCATTCATGGGGAAGAGGGACTCGTGAGATCTCCCGGGCCCTCAATAACAAGCCATTCTCACAGGAAACAATCCAGTTCCACAGGTCTGGTTAATACCTTGTGAAGGCAGTACCTTATGACCTCATATCCTTCCACTAGTCTCCACCTCTTAAGGCTTCTACCGTATTGAGTCCCAGTTCTCCAACACGTGAACCTGTAAAGATGAACCGTATCTAAACTATAGCAGTGACTATTTTCAGTTTGCTGAGGGTATAACCCCCATTATCCAAACTTTAAGAAGTTTCGTAAGTTCAGATAAGGCTATTTAACTTATCTGAATTCTTACAATTAGTAGGTAGAAAAGTTTAGATTTGAAAATTGGTAGCCTGCTTCAAAGGTTTATTTTTGTTACCTTGTGATATAACACTCAGAGAAAAATTTTAGTGTTTTCCTATATTTCCTTTAACAGTATGGGGAATGTAGATATTAGGTTTTTATCAGCATTTATGTTGTAACCGTAGTATAGAAGGTCTGTAGTTTGTTTCAGTTGTTCATTTTTGAATTATGGCTTTTATAATATACTGTATCTTCATTACCTTGTCCAACACTCATAACATTTTACAAGATATTCTACTCAAGGTAATTGTATAGCTGTGATTAGTATGTTTGAGCAGTATGTTTATTAGCTGTTTAATCAGACTTGCTGAGCCAGTAAATCTTAATTATCAATAGGAGTGGATTAAGAGACTCCTGGAGAGGTGATTGGATCACGTGGGTGCTATTTTCATCTGTGGAGTCATCTCCCGTGTTCATTGGAGGTGGGTCACTGGAGTTCAGGCTTTGAAGGGTGTATCTGTGCCTGGTTCTTTGACTCTGTGCTCTGCTTCCTATAAGCCATGGAGTGAGCAGATCCTCTGTCATGATGTTCCTGCGTTAGAGCTGGTCAAGCACAAACTGAAGCCTTTGAACCCTAAAAAAAAGAAAGAAAAAGCCATTTCCTCCTTAAACTTGTGCATGTCAGCAACAGGAAAGCTGACCAGTGGAGTTGCCAATTTGCTCAGTATAGCAGGACTGTCCTAAGTTTCAGCTTGCTTCTTGGTTGATCATTTGTATGAAATACTGCAAATTTTAGAATTATACATTCGTATTTTGACAGGGAGTATCAATAAACACTAATATTGTTTAGTATTTCAGCTTTAAATCATGGATAATGTCTGTTTGGAGCTAGTCTTTCAAATCTGAGAAACATCAGAATAAAAGATAAGGGAAAGAATTATTGAGATTTAAAGATTGGAAGAAATGATATTCACAGTAATTATTGTTTTAGAAGGTAAAGAGAAATAAAATACAAATGTAAAGCATTTTAGATATTAATCCTTTTCTGAGGAGTAGCTGTCAAAATTTTAAATCATTTTATAGGTTGTCTCTTCACTTTATTGGTGATTTTTTCTGTGCAGAGCTTTTTAATATGATGTGATCCCATTTGTTGATTTTTGGTATTAGTTTTTATACGACTGGGTTTGGTTCAGAAAATCGTTTACAACTTTGTCTTTTAGAGAGTTTTGCCTATTTTATCTTTCAGCAGATTTAGAGCTTTTGTTCTGATATTTAGATCTTTGACCCATTTTGATTTTAGTTCAGTGCAGGGTGACAGATTTGAGTCTAGGTTCCTTGTTAAAAGAGTCTGTCTTTCCTTCAGTGAAGGGATTTGACCACTTTGTCAAAGAAGACATAGATGTACATTCCTGAAGCTGCTACTGTATCTTCTCTTCTACTCTGTTGATCCAGAAGTTTGTTTTTTGAGAGTGCAATGCTCTTTTTATCACTGTAGATTTGTAGTATAATTTAAAATCTGAGACTGTGCTTTTGAGCCCAGAATTGCTTTTGTAATAGCTCTGTTTTGGTTCTACGTAAACTTTAGGATTGCTTTTTCCAGTTATGTAAAGAGTATTGGTATTTTGGTATTTTGGTATATTGGTATTTTGATTGTGATTGCATTAAAGCTATATAAAAGTTTTGTAAATGTGGCCATTTTTACTGTATTGATTCATCCTGCCAGGAGCAGAGGATATATAGTTCCTTTTTGTGATATCTCCTTCAGTCTCTCTTTTCAAAGTACTATAGTTTTCATGATAGAGGTCTTTCATGTCTTTAGGTTAATTCCTATTTCA